CGCCTCGTCACATCAGAAGGACGTCTCAAAGGACTTCTTGGTATTTATTGTGAAATGGAATGACTGTAGCCAAATGCGGCAGCGCAATTGCACACAGCAACATCCTACAAACAGCCACGAAACGAGTGACCAATTTTATTTGGGGGATTGTTGCCCAGCACACCATGGGAGAAAGAAACTCCCTTCTCTTTTTGAATAGGGTCAAAGGATCTTTAACTTCCCGCTGAACAGGTAGATAGGATCTGGGTTTAACGTCTTATCAGAAGGACGGCACCTCCAACAACACAACCTCCCACCCACCACCCAGCCCTGCAATGGAATCAGCTTAGACCATGTGATTTCAACGTGACACGGTATCCCAGAAATTCGTCAAGTGAGCCTGAATTTGGAAAACGGTTAAAAATTAGCCTCTTATCGGCTTCCCACTCGCCTCAATTGAGATAACCAGCACATTGCGCAACTGCCCTTGAGCCACGGTGGGGGATAGCACTTTCCCTCGGTCAGCCAGATACCTGACACAGCGGAAACCCACCATCGTGCTCAAGAGCATCCAAACCGTCACTGAGAGTTCCACGCATTCCCACCCGACCCAGCGCACGGAGATCCCAGAGGTTAAGTGTTGGAACGGAACGCCCACTCTTTCTCTCTCTCTCTCTCGGTCGGTCTCCCCGGAGGAGAAGTCAGCACGCGCTGGGGCGCGCGCTTTTGCGGGCGAGACGGCTTCGGTGGCGCGGCGCGGCGCGGCTGGGGCGACGCGCTTCTGTACGTGTCACCATTTCCGTCAGATGAGTCCATGGGCGTAAGCCAACCCTTCGGGACTCCTCTCTGCCAGTCCTGCTCAGCTCCCGCTGTGTGCGTGTGCCCCCCCCCCACCCCCTCCTCTGCTGACGTTCGTCAGCAAACCAATCCCATCTGATAAGAGGACGTTTCGTTTCGTTTCGTTTGGTTTCCTTTCGTGCGACGATCAAAGAGAAGGAGGCTGCTCCCTAGCTTCGGTGGAGGGCTACAGCAGGTCGTGTTCCTCGCGGGCGTTTGTCTGCCGTCAAGAAGCGTAACGTAACGGCAAGGTCGGCCATCCTGCCATCAGACACCGCGCCCTGGCCGAGAAAAAAAAANTTTCCGAAGAAAAAAAAAAGCTGATTTTATAAACGCCCGAAGTGGGGCTTTCAGTGGGGCCGTCAAAGGCCGATAATCTGCGATGACATTTGCCAATTTTTTACATATGTGATGTCATTCAAAAACCCCCCACACAATAATAATAATAATAATAATAATAATAATTTGGTCACGACTGTTTGTGGGGCACTCCTGCGCCCGATGGGCTGCCGCGTTTGGCCCACGAAGTCCACAGTCACTACAGCGCGTTCTACAGTTTATCCCGTGAAGCGCTTCGCGACGTCAAATGCAAGGATTATTATTATTATCATTATTATTATTATTATTATATTGTTAGTATCATTTACGCGGCAGTGCTGTGTTTTTACGGCACAGTATAAAACACCGCGCGGGGGCTTTCGGGACGTCCTCCCGACACGGAAGGCGCTCGATCAATGCAATCTTGTTGTTGTCGTCGTCGTCGTCGTCGTTGTCGTCGTCGTCGTTGTTGTCGTCGTCGTCGTCGTTGTCGTCGTCGTAAACGTAAATCCAGCGTCTCGTCAACGATTTGCGATGATTTATTTGGGATACAGCCCTTTTGATGACACGCCGCGTTATTTTAGTGATTTTTTTTTTGTTGGGGGGGGGGGGGGAGGGAGGGGGCGACCGAAAGTCGTGTTTTTTATATATATATATCTATAAATAGATATATATATAGATATAGAAAACCGATGATTTTTTTTTGAAAAGATTTATGATTTTTTTAAAACAATTTTAGACGACAAGATTTTTTTTGGGGGGGGGTGTGGGGTGTTGGGGGGTGTGGGGGGGGTTGGGGCAATGGGGGGGGTTTGGGGGGTATTGGGGGGTATATACCAATGTCAAGGAGCGTAACGTGAAGGCGCCGTCGGTCGTTAAATGTGCGATGGCCTTTCACAGCCCCATTGACGTTGTATCGTATCATTACAACGATGACTGTTGTTGTTGTGGTTTATTGTCGTCGTTTCCTTTTCGTTCGGAAACATTACAACAACAACAACAACAACGACGACGACGACACAGAGAGAAAAGAAAAAAAAAAACGCATCGCCCGAACAGGGACTTGAACCCTGGACCCTCAGATTAAAAGTCTGATGCTCTACCGACTGAGCTATCCGGGCCCTGGCGGTGGAGGGCGCTCACCTGCTATAAGAGGCGTCAGGGCCACTGGGCGCGTCGGCGGCGCAGACGCCGCCCACAGCGTTCCCGCCCACCGACCGCTTCGCTCGATTGCGGCCGCCGCCGTTTATTCGACTCGCCCCGCGGCATACAATGCATCCGATGGATGAGATACGAACGCACCGTCGGGCGCGGGCGCGTTTTTTCTTTTTTAAAAAAATATATTACTGTGCGGGCGGGTGGGGGAGTTTGAAGCTGTGCGCCACCATCTTTGAGGCTGGCAGACCGACGACGCGCGCCGGACGCCCGCCATCTTTGATCCTGGCGGACAGGGCGCGTCGAGGCTCCGTTTGGGGGGGTGGGGTGGAGCTGCCGGGCGCCATCTTTGATGTTGGCAAACGCGCTCAGCGCTGCTGGCTCCCGCGGGTCGGAGGAAGGGGAGGAAGGGAAGGAGGTGGTGAGACTTCCGGCGGGCGCCATCTTTCGTGCTGGCGGCGGGAGGATCGCGCTCGGGTCCGGTCGACGGTGGTGGGGTGGGGGGGGGCAAAGACAGAAAAAAAAACAACCGCAAAAAAGAAAGAGCGGTTCTTTTTATAAAACGCGGCGTTTTGGTTCTAAACGGCCCTTTGGGTACTGGTTTTTTTTTTTCGCGCGCGCGCGTGTGTGTCTGCGGTGTGTGTTTTTCTCCCCCCCCCCCCCCCCCCCCCCACCTTTTTGTTACCGTGACTACGTCGCTTTATCGCGGGTTGTAACACTAACCGACGCCGAGGCGCCGTCTCGGTTCGTGTTTGACCAGGTCTTAGCGCTCGTGAGGAGGGAGCGGCCTTCAGGTCAGTCAGTCAGTCAGGAGGTAGGCCCCAGCGGGGGTGGGGAGGGGTGGGGGGGTCGGCCTGAAGCCTCGGCCTGAAGCCTCGGGACTCGCCTGAAACCCTTCCCCCCCTCCCCTCCCCTACCCCGGGTTCACAAGGCGTCGAGGTTCGACCGCGACAGTGAGTGAGGGAGGGAGTGAGATAGAGAGAGAGAGAGGGGGAGGGAGAGGCTCTCGGGTGTATTTGCTCCACTGCGGGGCTTATTATGTGTTTTGCTGTTTTTGTTATATGTAAGAAAAGGAAATGTACGGCTGAATGTGTTGTGTTTTGTCTGTGGGGAAGGGGGGGTTGTTGTTGTTGTTGTTGTCGTCGTCCAGGTTCAAGCGCCACAAAAGTTGTTGTTTCTTATTGGGGGGGGATTGGAGGGGGGGGGGGTATTGACGAGGCATTTTGACTCAAAAGTAGTGTAGTGGGGGCGGTGTTGGAGGTGGGGGGGGGGGGGAGGGGTTGAGGGGGAATGGCAGCCCTATGTCTCGATCAAATAATAATAATAATAATCCTTGAGTTTGACACAGGGCCCCCCTCGCGCCGTTCAGACGTCTCGAAAGCGCTTGGCGGGGTACACCGCCGAGTGCGATGACCGGACGCCTCGCCCCCCGGTGCCCCCGATTGGAAAGAGGGGCCCTTTTCGAATTCAGATTTCGGACGACAGTTTTCTTTGGCCGCCGTTTTTTTATTTCCGTCAGCTCCTTTTCGCCCCTCTCCCCCTCCCCCCCCCCCCACCCCCCTCCAATTCATTCTGCTATTGATCAGCCTCGCTGGCCTGACCTTTAATATAATATTATTATTATTATCGTCAGTTAACATGCTGAAATTGAAGCCTGATCCATTGTCACAGGGGGTGAGAATTCCTTGTGGCCTCGCGGTTGAACCCTGGGCTGATGGTTACCACGAGGCGATATGTGTGCCTTTCACACTTGCCCCTGGGATAACCTGATTCCTCCGGAGACGTTTTAAGTTTAGCTGCTGTGAGCTAAATATGGGTTCGGGAAATTGAATCCTTCTTCTCTTTTTCAAGAGATGCTCGCTAAAGGTGGATAGAAGAAAAATTGTTTCATGGCCGGGTTACGGTAAAAGTTCCGATTCGAACCCCATCCCTCCGTTGAAATAGGCCGCTGCTGCATGTTGGTATCTTGCAGATACAGTTGTTGGACCAGTAACTTGGTTGCTCATACCAACCGAGGCCTTAGGAGCCAGTTGGTAACGTGATGCGACCGGCACGTTTGAGAATACGGTTTGATTTTGTGGTTCTTGCTCAGATGGTCAATTAGTAAACGCTGTTACAAGCCGTTCCAAATTGTGATCGGACAAAAAAACAAAATTTACAGCAGTGCCATGTAAATCACATCTCTACTTATGCGATTGGCATCTCACCAGTTCCCAAGTCAGTGCTGTTGGATAGTAAAGGAAGACATTCTAAGCTCGTGACAATTGGTTTCAGCACTGGCCTTTATTGCATAGTCTGTATCTGGTGGGGTTTTTTTAGTTCAAGTTGAGTGCCAGCTCCGATAAAAGTTTCTTTTTTAAAAAAAATCAGCATTAAGTCTTTGACTCTTGACCGCAAGCCAAGTTTCTTTTAGGGAAGTGTTTCATTTTAAAATGAGAACTAATGCTTAACTAACAATGTGTACATCTTAACCTAACCATAGAGCTACTTGTAGATAAGGTGCTACAATTCTGTGCATTCTTCTCATTGTGTTTCACCCTGTTGTTTTGCCTCTGCTTATCCCTCAATATTTTGTGTAGCTTTTGCCCAAATAATTCCAGGGTAGAGCTTGACCCCCGAGTGTGGTCCATTTATTATCTTCTTGTCCACAGAATTCTACACACTGTGTAAAACAAATGCATTCAAACAATGCCAAACAATTGTTTTACATCAGATTAGATTCAACAATGGAGTGAAACTCAATGGGTTTAGCACTTGTCTCTTAAAGACAGATGTCAAGCAGTCCAAATTCTCCCCATTCCCAAAGTGGGTGTTTGTTTTGGCTTTGATTACAGCTTTTACATCAAGCATTTATTCTTTGTTTCCGACACTCCTTGTGCCGAGCACTCACTTTGGGAAAGTGCCATGGACAAGGCCTCCATTGGTATTTTGCTGGAGGTGTTCTGCAATGAGGCATGTTGTTTGTGCGCTTATGCAACGTTGAATGATTAATCTGATGCTGCACCTTTGCGTACATGTCTTGTATTCAGACGAGTAACTTGCTCCACCAACGGAGCCCAGTTTCCACTGCACTGGGTTTGCCTGGGCCTCCAGAACTGTGTTCTCAATGTCATTTTCATGCTTCAAGGCGTATCCATCGAGGCCTTGCAAACTTAAAAACGATGGGGTTTGTGTACATCCGCAACAGTAAAAACAAAAGTTGGTGAGGTTTTTTTGGATGTATTTTTTTGACCCGTTCGCTCGCTGTTGAACTTAGTTCCAGTCAATATCCAAGAGCCATGGTCAAGGTGCTCAGTCTGAATACCACGCTCGTAATTTGTGCTAATTTTAGGAATGGCTCAACTCTGTTATATGTATTTAACACTAGCCTCAGTGTTAGCAATAGGATTATTGCAGCGTCCTGGATTTGAAACTGTATTATCTCCCTTTTGCGTAGAATGTCTTTATAAAATTAAAAAGCTCAAAGCCCTGTTGCTCTTTAAGTGGACTATGCGACTATCATTGGGCAAACCCAGTGAACTTTAGATGTGGGCAGTGGCATTTCAAGCACAACCCCGCATATATTGGCACTCCTTTTATCATACTCGGGAGTGTTGGCATGTGCCCCTCAATATGGCACATTCATGGGCATTTTTGGAAAAAGGGAGATTACAGTGAAAATCCTGCTTTTTTTGCGTGTGTGAGCATTTATTGCAGGTTGGGCGATGTTACGTTGTCAGAAGGGGCTGCGACACCGAGTTTAAAAAGAAATTGGGGAGGCTGTTTTGTTGTGCTTTTCTTCAATAGGTGCAGATATCCTGGAGAAGCAGAATTGGAATCCACGTGTGTTTGGTATTAATTAAATTAGCCATTATACACCAAAAAAAAAGTTCCCAGTTCAAGGCTGCGGAATCTCTTGGAAGATTGTAGAAAGGATGGGTTATTTTCCCCCAGCCGCTGTAAAAGTAGCAGATCTCCCCGTCTACGTGGTTGTGAACTTTATTGGAGGAGTTGATTTTTAATCCCTGGCTTCCTGCAGTTCAACAGAGCGGAAGATGGACTGACTCACTGTAAACACCTTCAAGTAGAGAGTATTTCTAAGGCAATTTGTGTATGCAGATCGCAAATCTTTCTACTCAGTGTGTGACGATGGAGGTGACGCTGAGCCATTGCTAACTGACGGATTCAGTGTTGATTGACCTGCAGGGGAACATCAGCTGATGTCAGGAGGAAAGGGTCTTCATTGACGACTCCCGAGGTAACTGAACATCTTCATTCATTCAACTAAATAATGAAATATTCTAAATCTCTTCACTGCTCACGTTACTTGAACGTAACTCATTGTGTGAAGGGTTTGAGAAGTTTGGGTTATGATAAGCTGCTTTATCAAATCTATACTGTAGAGTGTGACAAGCACATGGTGTGATTGACAAAGTTAGTCCCTGGTTTTGTTCACCTTCTTGCAACTTTGCGTCCTATTCATGCAGTCCACAGCTAATCGGAGAGCTTTTAGCTATTTTGCTACAACCGCCTGGAATTTTCTTCCAGAATTCCTCCAAATTTGCCCCCATCCTGCATTAAAACCCGTCCATAGACCCGTGTCTCCCACCTCGAGCTCCTACTCAATCTTTGATACGGGTCATTTATTTAATGCCTTACGGTAATCTAAAACTGATGCAAAATATTGTACCTGGGTTAACAATCTCAATTTCCTTTCAGGTTAGATAGAGGGTGAAGAAGATTACAGAAGATTAGTATATGCTCTACGCCATTAGAAGACTAATACTGAGATTCAACAAGACAAAAGTGGGGAAAACCGAAGCAACAAAAAGATCTATTCTACCAAAGCCATGGCTCGTCAAAGCGATGATTGCTACTTCTATTTTTACTCCACATGTACCAAGGTAAACCTGCACCATTTCACGTGGGCTAACTAGGATTACGCACCTTTCATGTATCCAAGATTGGCTTAAAGACGAATGTTGTGGAAACTGAGCCATGGAGCTTAGTGAGGTTGGTGGGGGGGATTAATGGGCAGGCAAAACTTTGTGTAGGAGAACTCTGGCTGCAGACACTTACTAGAGGGAGAAAGATAACAAACTAACTCCAAGGCTAGAAAAATCCAGTATTCTGTTGCGGAGACTGTCTGCATTTCGAGGCATGTTTCTCAAACAGCAACATTGCAACCAACAGCAGTCTGAGGTCGATCAGTATACAGCACCAGAGTAGCAAATCATTGCAATAAACGGAAACACCACAAGTACTTTTCTTCCACAAAAACTAGTCAGTTCACTTCACAGTATATTCTGTGAAGTACTTTTGAGACATCTCGGAAGACGTGATAATGTGCAATGTCAAATGCAAGGTTTTTTTTATTAAAACTTGAATGTATATGTTGAATGCTATTTCAATTTCTGGCAAGTTTATGCTTACGGCAATTTAGGTAGTCCGCAGTGCTTGTATTATACATGAAGTTGAAGAATTGCTTTTTGCTCATCACGTTTTGGCTTTTCTTTTGTTAGGGTGACAGCTGTGTGTTCCGTCACTGCGAAGCAGCTCTTGGCAGCGAGACAGTCTGTAACCTGTGGCAGGAAGGCCGCTGCTTTCGGCAAGTCTGCAAGTTCCGACACATGGAGATTGATGTAGGTTTTCGATTGGCAAGATTTCCTCTAAACATTTCAATGATAATAATTTGATCGCTCAATCCACGAATGTTTGTGGGACACTGCTGTGTGCAATTGGCTGCTGCATTTGGCCCAGAAAATATACAGTTGATTCACTTTACAGTGTATTTTGTGAAGCACTTTGAGACATTGCAGTGACATGATAAGGCACCGTATTAAATGAAGAGATTATTCTTATTTACAACCGTGGGATTTGTGCACATATTGACAAGATTACCCAAATAACACTTATATTCTGCAGTGAGTTTTTTTTTAACTTTTTTCCTTAAAAGTTGGTTTCATAACTATGGTGAAGTAAAATGAAAATCTGTTGTTCTCTCTGTAGAAGAGGAGGAGTGAAATCCCATGTTACTGGGAGAAACAGCTCTCAGGATGTACAAAGCTGAACTGTGCTTTCCGCCACTGCAAGCCTCGCTTCATTGAGGGAATCTTCTTTCCTCCCACAAAAGGTTTGTGTCTAATCGCAGCGATTATGTTCACTTAAAATCATAGAATTTTATAGCACAGAAGCAGACCATTCGGCCCATCGTGCCTGTGCCGGTTCTTTGAAAGAGCTACCAACTAGTCGCTCTTGCCACGTTGCACTTAAATGATTTCTCTGCTCGTGGCAAAACTTGGCCCAGCCCTCAGTCTGCCAGTCTGTTACAAGCAGTTACAAAGTTGGAACCAAATTTTGTAGGCATTTCTGAACAAGGAAGACAGAAACACTTGCCGTTTCCCATTGTGTAACTTATCTGTTCCATTATCTCTCCAGGCTATTTAAAATGTTTCCTTCAGTTTCTGGCACCAGGGTCAATGCCGGATCCCAAGGAATTCTGCTCTGTGTGCTCCTCTTTGAGATGAAACAATCCTATGGGTCAAGCAGGATGCTTTATTTTAGAGCAACACCTGCAGGTGATTGGTATGAGAGAATCCTCACTTGCAAATGATACAGTAATTTGCAGTTTCTCCTTGAAATTGTGCCTCTACCAAGCACCGATGTTCAGCCATTACATTAACAGCAGTTCAAGGAGTGCACATGGATTATTAATTTAGCCAGAGGGTGCATTCTACGTATTGCAGAGTTATTTAGTTCTTGAACTATTTAGCAGGCTCCTGTTAGTACTAAGGCTATGATGTTTGGAAGCCTATATCCACTCCTATAGTTTCTCATAGGAGATTCCTGCAGAGTGTGAGTTCCTTCACACATGGTACAAATCCTTGTGTTCTCAGACTCACCAGCGCCCGTTTCCACCAATCTATTCCCTCAGGTATCCAAAGCAAACCAGAAGTGACTGAGCTGGGAGAAGAAGCCAAGATGCCACAATCGACTGTCAACCAGTTACAGCAGCCGAAGCTGCCGATTCAGTCAAACCCGTCTCCGCAGGTTCGGGGGGTCATGAAAATGGAGGCATCTGAGAACGTGCCTAGCCCAACACATCCTCCCGTAGTAATCAATGCAGCGGATGATGATGAAGATGATGATGGTGAGGTTCACATTTGGTTTCGCTAATCTGTTGCTTAGTCACTTACTTTAACTTTCACCTAATTACTGAATGCGGGAATGTGGAAGGTACTGAGCATTGTGCTGAAGACGTCTGGACAAGCCAAAATAATGACAAAATCCAAAGTGCTTTCAGACGTTAACACTACTTAGACGTGTGCCCAAGACAGCAGGACGAGAAATTGCAGGTTGGGGGATGTGAGGGGCAATTTTAGCAGAGGGTCTTAACAGCTGGAACAGATCAGCGGAAAGAGCAGTTGCAGCTAATACTGCAAAGATGAACTGGTAGAATGGATATGCTGGGAGCAGAGATCAAATGGACTGAACCGCTTTCTTCATTCCAGACGTCTCTTCTAATATGTTGGTGAACCAATGACCTTGTGTACTTTATACTGTTCTCTCTCTCTCATATATGCTTATGACTTTATGAACCAAACACAACAAAGACATTGTAAAGCACATTGAGTTTAAGCATTTCCTGTTTTATGGGGTGGGGGGGGTGGCGGTTGGGAAGCAAGCGTCTGATCTGAATCGCTGACTGAATTTCCATTCTGTTTTCAGATCAGTTTTCAGAGGAAGGAGAAGAAAACAAAAACATTCAAGTCTCAACCGCAGACGAGCAGAATGGCATTCGGGTCATTTCCACCAAGAAACAGGCCATCGCTATTCAGCAAGGTTAATGCGTTTATAAAGTCTTTTAAAATCTGGAAACATTTCTCCAAATGGATGACTCTGAAGATGTGGAATGCATTGCCTGAGTGGACTGTATTGGGGTGTTATTTAATGTGGTCACTCAATCCACGACTGTTTGTGGGACACTGCTGTGCGCAATTGGCTGCTGTATTTCGCCCACAAAATATATGCAGATAATTCACTTCACAATAGATTCTGTGAAGCACTTTGAGTCATCTCGAAGGCGTGATAAGGTGCTGCATCATGTGCAAGGATTATTATTATCATTAAGATAGTATTTTCTGCCAGCAGATGAGAATTTGGATTTTGGCATTAAAACTCTGGAACAGATCAAACGGAAGAAAGCCATGAAGGAGAAGCTGAAAAAATTAGGTAATTAAGTCCATTGTATTCAGCTCCTGTACAGATTCATTATCTAGAGAAATACATACATGATCCTGAAGAAAGACAGAGCATATGGCTTGCCTGAATGGGCAGGCCTCCAATTTGGTCTGCTTCAATCCCTGTTTCTTTTTGTTTATAGACGAACCCTCGGCAGAGCTGATCCAAAAGGTGGAAGAAAATTGCGAGAACTTTGTTATTGAAAAGGAAAATGTCCGGGCGGTTTTCCGGACAGTGACCTTGTCTCCAAAGAAGGGTAAGCCTTTTAGTTACTATGGAGCATTAGAATTTTGTGGCCATTTATACAAATGTTGCTGAGAGCTTGAAGAGAGCTTCAGGGTATCTTTTCGATTCTTTCCTCGGCTGGGAGGAAAAATAAGTCTTCCGTGTTTTTTTTACCACCATCATCTAATGATTAACAAAACGCTTTCGTTGGCATGTGGGGGGGTGGGGGAGAGATCAGTGCAGACTTTTGGCATAGCATGTGGGATAACTGCATTTGATTCTAGAAGAATACAATCAGTGTTGCATTGAACGGTTGGACAAGACCTTACAGTACAGATGTCAGTTTGTTTTATTGTAGCGCAGATTAAGTGCTGTGTGTTTTGTTCCGAAAATGACCTTTTTGTTTGTGTTCATTCTGTTTTCTCCCTTCGTTGGCCGCAGGTGATGGTGAGCCTCTGTTTAAACACAATCTTGCTGAAAGACTTGGCAAAAAGAAACTGTCGCCAAAGAGCAGCGCCGAGGAGGTGCCACAGAAAGGTCTGCACAATATAAGAAATATTTCAAAATGCATGTTTCGGCCCACAGAAGGTACAGTTACTACAGTTTACAGTCTTCTGTCAAGCAATTTGAGACGTCTCAATGACGTAATAAGGCACCATATCAAATGCAAGGATTATTATTATTACACCAATTATACACGGGTTACTTGCCAGTGGAGCTCTGCTAGGAATCTCCTGACCTGCACCAAAATGGTTCCTGGGCAGATTGCACCCTTAACCCAATCTCTCAATCTAGGCCAGTGTCGTCCAACCGGATACCCTATTTGCTGAAGGTCCCCGGGCCACACAAGCAATGTTTTTGTGTTTCCCTTCCAGAGACAAAAGATACCATTTACGGGTTGTGGAGGGAGCAGGTGGGCCTAGCTAATTGGAGTGGAGGGTGTGTGGGGGGAGATGGACCACTCTGGTCTAGTCTGATGTTTTGAGCAGTTGTCGTTTTCTCTTTTCAAAGCCACAATCGCTGAGAATGAAATACTTCTGAAGCGCAACCTTAGCGATCGGTTGGGCAAACGGAAGGTGAAAATGGACGAGGAACCTGATGAGCTGCCACACAAAAGTATGTGCACTGTCTGCTTGTTACTGTACTGATGGCTGACCAGGAATTCTCAATTTGTGACCATTCAGTGATTTGTTTCTGTCTCCAGTTGGGTACTGTACATATTGAACTAATTACACATCTGCAATCCGCATTGCATGCACTTTACTAATCTCTCTTTAAGCTCCCACTTATTAATCCCACTTGCCATCTCCTTCCCCATGTGCCTTAATAGTTTTTCTTTCTTCCTGATCCAGTTCAAACTCCCAGGCCCATGAAGGAGCGTCTTGGTCTGCCTATGGAGGTGGTGAACACAGACAGAGGTAGGTAATTGGATCTCCAATACTCTTGGTTTCATGGTCTAATGCTGCTGTTGGAAGTCATGAGACCACTAATGCAGTCAATTCACTTTACCGTATAATCTGTGAAGCGCTTTGGGCCGCCTCGAAAACGTGATAAGGTGCTGTATCAAATGCAAGGATTATTATTATTATACTTCTGTTCTTTGACTTAAACAATTGGTTATTCGCAAAACGTGAATCAAGTAGCTTCTCTTCCAGGCTTAACACCTTGATATGGGTGCGCTTTAAGCTGAAATTGACGATGCTTACAGGAGTTGTTATCTATGGAAGATAAATGTTTTGTAAATTCCAGTCCGATCTCATCTTGACATTTGCAACTCATTCTGTCACTAAAGATGTATCATTGACCTAACAACCTGCACCACTGTAACCTCATTCCTTCCATCTTCCCATGTAAGGCACTGTGTTATACTGAACCAACACACTTTACCCTTCAGTTAGAGAGCAACAAGAGATTATAGTTGAAAACGTGCAAATTCTCAGCACAAAAGACCATTGTAATAGTTGAGGTATAGATCAGTTATGATCTAACAGAATGCCAGAACAAGCTGAAGGGGCTGAATGGCTCCTGTTCCTAATACAGAATTTTTAATTAATCCTGCTTTCCTAATGTATTTACTGCCTGGGTATGAAGTAAACTTCCACAGGTTTCTGCCAGTCTGGCCGAACTTGCTGCTTTTGTTCAGCTGTCCATCAAAGAGAATTCTAGCTAACAAGAAACGTGCCACCCTTTCCACAGATAAGCCTGGAAATAAAGCGGACGTGGCTGGAGAGATCCGAGTGAAAACCCTGGAAGAGATTCGCAGGGAAAAGGCAGCCAAGAAAGAACTTGTCAATGACGACAATGAAGACCCCAAGACTGATGACGCTGTCGTCGTGAATAAAAAAAAACCTGACCAGGTCTTCGGTGTACTGGAGGAAGCCGCCAAGATCGTCAGAACGATCCGGGTAAAAACCTTCTCTGAGGCCCTTCTGGAGAAGAAGCAGGCCCAGCTTCTGGAAGAGAAAGAGAAAGGGAAAGGGAAGGGCTGCTCACCCACAAAGCAGCCTGAAGATGAGCCAGCGAAAGAGGGGAACTCGGGAACAGTGAAAGGTAAGGAGCCTGTTGGTGCTCGGAAAGTAGAACTACAATTCCCTTTTTATGATTAATTTCATCCAGCACCATTAGGTCTTAACCTTCCCTATTCCCTCAACAGACAATGAACCTTTTCCTTCTCATCTAAGAGCTGCCCAAATTTGAGAGAAATTTACCAGGTTGTCAGTTTGTAGAACTTTATAACACAAACCTGTAAGAACGTGAGAATTTGCTCGGCAAAAGACGGCCAAGGTCCATCCAGTTTGCACTTGCCCCATCCTGGCAGTCGCTTGAACATGTCGTTGCCCAAACTATATATTTATGTCCTGAAATAATGAGAACAGAAGTGTTACACTTCAATGATTGTCAATAATCACTTTGATTTTTAAGTTGGCCAAGTACAGGATTACTTGCCCTCCTTTGCCTTTAACCTTAGTGTTGGGGCAAATTCCATGTCCATTTAGCATTGTATATGGAGTATTCCGATAAATCTGCTGATAATCCCTGAAAACTAAAATAGTTATTGTACACTGTACTTTTTTTTAAGAGGAGAAATGTCGGGAACCATTTAGTCCTTTTTGATGCAGAAAAACTTCAGCGAAGAACAATGAAAGGTGAAGGTTCCCCGTTGCTCACTTGTTTGATCCACGTTTTTCATGTTCCAGCGAGAAGCCGAAAGGCATCCCCCGAGCAAACTGCGGTGCCGCCGAAGCCGTTCGAAAAAGTGAGAGTGAAAACACTGGAGGAGATCCGGCGCGAGAAGGCCCTGCGAAGGCCGCCGAACCAGGAGGCGTCCGCCCCACAACAACAGGACGACAAGCCCAAAACCGAAGCAGCCCCGACCAGACGAAGGATAATGAGGCTCCCCAAACCTACTGGTAAGCGATCCGGGACACCACCCCACGTGAAGGGCGCTGTATAAATTCATGTTGGTGGTGGTAAACACCCAGTTTATTGAATGGTGGAAGGTTTACAGCACAGAAGGGGATCATTTGGCTAGCTTCCCCCCCACTGGGGCTGTTACCACTTTCCCTCTTCTGGTACCCTTCTGTCCTGCCTTTTGATGCTGCATGATAAGTGAAGCACTTTCATGCACGCAATCTTGTGTTGGGATATGTTTGGATCTATGCAAAGTTTGGCACAAAGCAGTAAAAGATTGATCAGTGTTTGGTTAATGTGTATGGATTTCTGTGTTGCAATTGAAAGGAAGGCATTCCATCCACTGCTGAATTTGCCTATAGTGATCGTTGTCAGGAAGGGAAGGATATTGCGTACGGTGGTACAGGCCTGCTAACTTGCCTGATAATCTGACAGCCTTGTCACCAGTTGGTGGCACTACCCATTAACAATTCTACAATCTCTTGTGCAGAAACTGTCAAGCCAGAAAAGGCAGAGACACAGTCAGTGGAGTCTATCATTGATACTGCTGCTGAAGGTGACGCAAAGGAGATTAAGGTCAGTGTGGAATCAACATTCATGAAGGAATCTAGAACTAATTAAGCTATAACTGTGGCCCATTTGCTCAGTGTGGCTTCTTTGTGAGGACTCTTGGAAACCTTTGTTACTTGTGTAAAATAACTCATCAAATCAGTTTGGTACTTGGTAATATATAAAGGATGATGCCCATTTGCCTTAAGTGATTCTAGGCTCCGCTCAGCAAAGATAATTAATAATTCAAGTTTTTTTTAAATGGTTAATAGTTGTGCTGTACCATTTGTGCAGGCTGCAAGTGGGAAGGAAACTCCTGTGTTGCAAAAAGTGCAGGTGAAAAGATTGGAAGAAATCCTCAAAGAAAAGCGTCTTCGCAAGCAACAGGAGACTGAGAAGCTGTTGAACAAAACCCAGGTGGGAGAAGAAGCGCCGGTGGTCAGTACTGCGGAAGAAGCCAATGGGACCAGCCAGACCGAAGTGGAGAAGAAAACGCAGGAGGCAGCCCCTATGGATACGAGACCAAACAACCGCCTCACAGTGGAGAGGCCGGCCGAGAAGGCCCAGGAGAAGCTGGTCATTGCCAAGCCTGTAAAGGCAGAGCCTGCCCCGGCTCCAAAAGGTTTGTGTCTGTGGCTTTTCATTTGATCGTCCTGCTAAACTCTGCAACCCTCTCCCTCCCTCCCCATTTTCAAATCCTGCCTAAAGACCTTCCTTTCTAATAGTGCTTTCGGTCACCTCCCCCTGGCTCGGTGTCAGACTGCTGAAGGGCACTATGTAAACGTGTGTGTGCGCATGTGTGTGGGGGAGGGGGGGGGGGGGGGGAGAGGAACATTTCCTGAATCGCCATCCTAACCCACTCTCTCTGTTACAGTGAAGCCCAAATTAAACGTGAAGCCTTCTGTGGTGAAGAGCCCAGTGAGACTGAGCCAGAAGCGTAAATCCCCAGATGGGAACCCTTCTGCCATTGTGGCAGTCAAACCACTCAACGCCGTCACTCCTGATGTGGGTGGACAGCTATCCCCAAAGAGAGCTGTCCTGGTAAGATCCCTTTAAACCATTTTCAAGGTGCTGCCCATTCTCAGGCAGTCGGGTAAAGACTGGTTCATTGACGGAACAATTTTATACCCTTCCAACTCTCACCCAGCTATAAACCTTTCAATGTACATTTAATAATAACAATAATACTTGTGTCTTATCACGTCGTTGAGATGCCTACTTTGGCGCTGCTACCACAAAGGCATCAAGAACTTTTGCTCATTAATAAGGAGTCCATCTCAAGTGTCCTTCCATACCAAGATATATAGGAGCATTGCAATGCAGTATCAGTGGGAGAGTTTGTGCCTTTTACTCGCCCATCCCATCTTCTGTTTTGCTGGTTTGGCAAGAGACCACATGGAGCCCATGGGAGAGAATTGTTCCAATCTAACTCCGGAAAGTTGCTAAGGTCACCATTGGCAGTCGTTCAGCTACAGATGGTGTAAATCCTATGAAGTAAGAGCAGTTTGGCAGACTACCCCCAAAATATCAGAACCATATTTAATAAACATTTGCAAATAAGGCATTACAATTAAATTCACATTTAATGGCTGTGATTTTTTTCCCCCAAAAAACGTAATCAATCCAATTTACAGGATATTCCGTGAAGAGCTTTGAGCCTTCTCAACTACGTAATAAGAATAGTACTAATGCAAGGAATACTATTCTAATGCACTGGCTCAAAGGCAGCATCTAGCTTGTCCAACTACTTGGCTTCATTTCAACTTTAAGGAGCCACCTCAGGTGTACGGTTCCTGGCGTGAGGTGCCTGAAATATTTTGCCTTTTCTCACAGGCTCTGCCATCAAGAAGCAAGCGAGAGACAGTATCGTCTCCGATTGTGGAAGTGCCCGAAACGTCTATGGAAAGGTAAAGTCATGGATGTACTGGTCTGCGTGGTTTGCTTCTACACGGTTTTAAAGACCTGTAACATTTCAGAACAACGCAAAAGTATGTAGTTTAGACTGTCAGCGCTTTAGATAGTCGCAAGATGTAGAGATAAAGAGTAGATTACAACTTATGTGTGGCGTATAAATCTGGAGGACTGAAGCCGAAGGGAATCTTTGCATTAACCATCAACTCTCACTTGCTTTTCAGCGTACATTTAGTGGAGCAAAGTAAGCCCCCGCCGTGCGTGTCGCTGCCAGAGATGGCCAACTTCTCCCCTCCCCGGCCGGCCGTCAAAGCCCGCAGAGCCAGCTCCACCGCCAGCAAGACCGTCGAGGACGACTTCGAGGAGCTGATGAAAGAATTTTCGGATGATAAACTGGAAGCAGAGATCGATCTGGACCCGGGGAAAGATGAGGACGACTTGCTGCTTGAACTCTCCGAGATGATTGACAGCTGAAGAGTCCATTGTGTTATTTTTAAAAAAATGAAACCCAGCTTCCCCTGCGGAGTGATCTTGATAGTAAATGGAGAGTAGCCTGGACCTACTTTTTGCATAGGAATAGGGCTCTCTATATTTTTAAAGTTGCGTATAAGTATCTGTGATAAGGGTACTGCATTTTCGTATATGGACGGAAGCCAAATCTGTTTGACTGTTGACATTGAGACCAAATTACATCACCTGGCCATCTACAACCATTAGACTACTAGCCACCTCCCTATTCTTTCTCGTTCCCCGCACCCCCCCCCCCCCCCACCATCACCAAAAAAAAAGCAATGCCGGTGCTTTGCCCAACATAGATCAGCCTGTTATCAAGATGTTGCGATACGCTTCAATCTGAAAGCTTTGTTATCGAGTATGGTGCTCTCCGTAACCCAGGGCATTTTGATCGGTGAAGGCAACTATCTTCCGACTGGGACACTAATTTCATAACACTTGTTTTCCCTTGGGCTAGACGTAAGGGGAAATGGCAATGCCCTGTCCTGATTACTTGCTTTCCATCAATAATTAGGTCATTTGACTCATTGTGGCATATTCTGTTCTCATGCTGGCATTGCCCTAATGGGTTTAATGGCTGTGATCTTTGTGGAACAGCCTTGGATTTCTGTGCACCTTGCTGTGTGTTGGAAAGGACTCTGGAGTAGAGTTAATAAGGAGAGCCTTCAATGAATTTGTTAAATGTTTGGCGTTTTAAACTCGTCAAAGCTTTTGGTAACTCGAGGCCTCTTACGTTTGATCTGTTGGCCACGAGAAGCTTTAGACCCTTGCAATTAGAGAACCCAAACCCAAAATTGCACTGGGAGTTCCAGAGAATTTGGGTCATCGGTGTGAAACTTGGACACGTTTGGTTATCAGAAGTTCTGAAGTGAGTTTGAGCATTAACTGTTATTTAATGCAACTTGCCTTCCTGATTTTGTGCTAGCTTAGCCCTCCATTTGGTTTCTTAGTCGGACGTTTGTCTTACTCCAATATAGGTTCATTTCCCATGTCGCAAAGTGTATTTTTATCACAGACTGTGCTTGCTAGTAGTTAAAGTTGTCTTCGTTCTGAGCATACGGGTATTCAAAGTGGTTTTGGTGCTTGCAATGCAACTGGTGCCAGGAATTGTCCGGCTGTTTTCCTTTGTGTGCCATGCATTCAAGTCTTGCAGTTCATTAAAAACCAAGAGGGAAGAAAGATGCCTGTAGCAGTAGGTTACATTCTAATGGCTGGTTGTACTGAAGCTATTTGGGGTGGAGAGGAGGAGGGAGCATGAGATGTGATCCCATAATGCCATTTGATGTTTTGGTTGGTCCAAGTGACTATTGCGAAATAGATACTTAAAAAAAAATTGCAAAAGCACTTGCTGGCACTTCACCAGATCGTATGGCCCCTAAGAGACTGGACACATTGAGAACAGTCAAGCTACCGAATGTCCTTGTGCCCACACAGCCAGAACCCACTGGGAAGTTGTGATCAGCCACTAATAAAGGACGCAGCATTGCTCACAAAGCCACCTTTGTGCAAAAGAGTGAAGAGACCAAGGAAGTGAAGATTATGTCCAGTAACTGGAGTATCTCAGATAATAGGACCTTCAGTGTATGAGCTACTCCCAAGTTCACCTTTGTGTATATCAAGAAGCCTCTGATGACTACAGTGGTATGCAGCCTCCTTGTAGTAGCATACTGGTGAGGTACATGCAATGGTACATCTCCGAACCTGATTCTGCTATCGCAGCCCTGGTTCAAGTAGGATGGTGCGCCCGGTATTAGTCCAGCATTACCTTGCGACAGCTATTGAAGGAGCTTGAAGAGAGAAGAGGATGATATGGAGAAACTCTCCTTTTCATATTGTGGAAGACTTTAGGTTGGAGGAGTTCTTTACTGTGTGGAGGGAATAGGTTATTCAGTTGTCGAGACTGAAGCATGTCCACTATATGGGAGCATTTCATATGCAAAATGTTAGTCTAGTTAACCTGCTTCACTGGGTCATGTTCTTCATAGTGCCTTGAAGTAGACTGAACTGCATTGCAATTTGCCTCCAAATAGTCACTACACTTTACAGCAGTTACCTGTCAATCAAAGCCCTTTTTTGAGACATTTCAACTCAGTAGGTACTGTATGTAAATAGAAATTTTGATCACAGAACATTTTGACACGTTTTCTCCTGCCGTCTGCAGTGATCATCAAGTCTATAGGATGGAGATAATTGCAAAATGCTCTTCTAGTCCAAAAGCAAAGGGTAGAAGTCGCTGTTAAAATAAGACTCTCGCAACCATTAAACTGTTGTAACGGGAGCACGAATGGTGCATTCCTTTTGATAATAATGGTGTTAACTGGCTGTTTCACCTTGTAACAGCAGGCGAGGCATTTTGTAACGCTGGTAACAAAGTGGAAGCAAATGGACCTCCTGCGCTCGCTGGAGTTTGTTTCACGGAGTATTTTTCCTTCCATTGTTGGCTGCTACTTCTCTCCCTGTTTCTTCTCTCGCCCTTGCCCCCCCCCACCCCACCCTTATAGTGAACTGCGGACCTCTCTTGAATGCATTGCTCACAACGGCGACAAAAAAAAAAGTTCTTAAGATTAGTTTGAATGTTGAAATCCACTTATTTTTATTATGAAGCGCAAGGGTGTGTCCAGAAACGAAGCCACGTGTTTGTTCTACATCGGCCCCCAATTCTAAACCAACCTACGTATTTGCTGTTCCAAAGTGGCCTTCCCCTGTGACTGCTTTGCAGGGGCCAGTGCTGTCCATTTGTTCTTTGTGAAACATTGCGGATATTTTGTTCTTGTGTTTCCCACCTCCCCGTCCCCCTCCCAAATGGTCGACACACAAGTCCGATGTTAGAATTTATGTGTTGGATCCATTGGAGGCACTCTTGTGTTTGTGCGGTCTGCATTTCCTCAATACGTGCTTTTCGCTTTTCCCTTTTATCGATTCAGATGTGCATCCATGGGCAGTGAGCAGTTTTATTTATGACTCGGTATAATAGTGACGCAGGTGTTCCAAGTGTAAACATTTTCTTTGTAATAAAACGACATATATTGTTCAGCAGGAGTCGCTTTGCTGCGCCATTTATTGCAATTGGTAAGATGATCTGCGTGAGACCGCGGCCCCATTCGGCACCAAACGACTATGGCGATGAGATAACAAATGCTGGCGATGGAATACGGCGCCTTTGAAAGCGGGGGGTGGGGGAGGGAGGATGCATCGAAAGGTGCTTCACGGGATCTGCTGGAGGGCAGTAACTTACATAAAATAATAATAATAGTCCTTGCATTCGACCCAGCGCCTTATCGTGTCCCCCGAGACGTCTCGGAAGCGCTTCGTGGGATACGCCGTCGGCGGTTTTGTGGGGCGAAAACCTACGGTTTAATAATGCAAGAATACACTGATGACGATGAAGAAGTAAGGGCTCGTTGCAAGAAGTTTTTTTTTGTAATATAGTTTTTGTTTAATATATAAAGAGGGTTTGAAGGGGTGAGGCCTGGTGTGCAGGGTGAAGCCTGCCTCCCGTTGCCATGGCGCCGGCTCTCCGGGGTCAGAGGTCAGGCCGCGCGGGCTTTTCTCGCCGCCATTTTGTTTGTCCGTTGCCGCCGCCGTCGCTACCGTTCGTCTCGTCGTTGCCGTCGAGGAACCCGCAGCAGCCATGGCGTACCGCGGGCAGGCACAGAAAGTACAGAAAGTGATGGTGCAGCCCATCGTATCCTTACCCTAACCGCCAGGCGGGTGTGGGGGGAGGCCGGGGCCTGGAGTGTGGGGAGAGTGTGAGGCCGGGGCCTGGCGTGTGGCGGGAGGCCGGGGCCTGGGAGGGGGGGGTGTGTGGGGGGAGGCCGGGGCCTGGGGTGTGGGCGGAGGCGGGGGCCTGGCGGAGGAGGGGAGGGGGGTAGTGTGAGGCCGGGACCTGGGGGGGAGTGTGAGGGGAAGCCGGGGCCTGGGAGGGGGGGGGGGGAGTGTGAGGGGAGGACGGGGCCTGTGTGACGGGGTGGGGGGGGGGGAGTGTGAGGTGAGGCCGGGGCCTGTGTGAGGGGATTGTTATCAGGCGCGTGGAGAGTAAGGAACCTTGCCCAAGGTATCGCCTGGCCGGGAAGCGGACCCTGGTCTCTCGCTTGCGAGACGAGGGCTGTTCTAACAGGACGACGGGAAATGAGCGGAGGCTCCAGCGTGGCCTGGCCCCGCAATCGCTGGTCAGCTTCGTCTCGGCGTCCGGTTGCACGTTGTAACCTGTCTTCCCCACGTGTGGATTCCCGCAGCTCAAGTGTTTTACAGCACCGAATAAATACTAAATAAATAATAACGTGGCCGCTCAACCCGGGGCTGTTTGTGAGTGACGGGGGGGGGGAGACGCCGCTGCGCGCAATTGGCTGCCGGGTTTCGCCCACAGAATGCCCAGTCAATTCACTTTACAGCGTATCCTGTGAAGTGCTTTGAGACGTCTCGAAGACGCGATCGGGCGCCGTATCGAATGCACCAACCACAACAACAAGATCGCATTTACAGAGCGCCTTTCACGTCGGGAGGGAGGACGCCCCAAGGCGCCGGACAGTTGGGTCGGGACCCGAGCGGGTGGTGGAAATGGTCAGGGGGAGGGGAGGGAAGGGAGGGAGGGAGCGAGGAGGGGGTAGAGAGTCGAGAGGGGCGCTGAAGGCACGGTCGAAGAGAAAAGGATTATTGTATTCTGCGAGTTGACCTGTCTAGATGTCACGCTAAGACACTATTTCAAACGCAAGAATCATTATTATTCCCGTCTTCCTTAACTAACTGTGCACAGAATCTTATTTTCAGATATCTTCAGAATGTGAGTATAGTTGCCCACTCTTCTCCACTGTTCTGTCCTGGTGGGTTAATGGAAGTTGCGCATGTGATGTTTAACTGTAATACCGTATTGCAATTCTGTGAAGGGTTTTGAGACGTCTCGAAGACGTTATACGGCGCAATATAAAAATGCAACTGTTATTAGTATCAGAATAGTGGACACCTAACACCGTATGATCCCATTGCATACGTGAATTCAACAAAAGATTGGAAATAATGTGCCCAGTTTTAACGTATCGGGGAGGGTTGCTTGGGCTGCATGTGGTATATGCCCACAAGGAATAAATGCCATTGTAGCCAAAAGTCAGAATGCTTTTCGACTAACGTGATTTTTTTTTTCTCTCCAGAGATCCAGAATTCAAGTCTGGTTGTATGAACAAGTAAACATGAGGATAGAAGGCTGCATCATTGTAAGTATGAACTGCATCCAAAAGCAACAACAATAAATTACATTTGTATAGCGCCTTTCACGTTGAGAGGACATCCCAGGGCACTGGACAGTCAGGGATTCGGACCCGAGCAGGGGATTGGGATTAGGAGGGAGGGTGTGGGAAGGAGGGCGACCGAAGGTGGGGGGTCGAAGAGTCTTGAAGGAGGCAAGGGAGGGAGCAAGGCGGAGGGACTGGGATGAAGTTCCAAAAGGGTGGGGGTAGAGAACCTGAAGGCCCGATTGCCAATGGTAGGGTGAGCCAGGTGGGGGATGTGGAACAGGCCGGAGCCTGCTGACCGGAGGGAGCGGACAAAAAAGGGAAAGAAGTAGGTTCAAAGAAGGTCTCGGACCAAGCTTGTCTCTCGAATCCTCCGTTCCACCATCGGCGACCGTGCCTTCAGCCACTAAGTTCTCTCTCTCTCTCATTTAGGGGTTTGATGAATACATGAACCTCGTCCTGGATGATGCAGAGGAAATTCACATGAAATCAAAAGCAAGGAAACCGTTAGGTGGGTGACGTGAGATCTTGCATTGGCCACTAGAGATTTACTGTATGGTTTCCAACCCCCCGCCCATCTCTGCTTTTATTGTTTTTCAACTTGTACCCCTCAGAGATGCAATCTGATTATTTACAGAGTATTGTGTTTGTGTTTATAAGAATGTGAGTTGCCTTTTATGGGGATATTTAGCAGGTATATCTCTTCAAGAACATGGGTGGGGGGTTACCTATCAACAAGCTTCTTTCTGTGTTTAAACCCATTGTATCATCCATTCCAGCAATGGCCATTTGTTTGGGTTTTGTAGTTGATGCAAAGTCTTTGCATGTTTGAAATCCATCTATTAATCTGATTCCTGATATACGGGCTTCTCTTGTTTTACAGGCCGTGTTATGTTGAAAGGCGATAACATTACCCTACTTCAGAGTGTCACCTCCTAGGACTGGCGTCCCTCAGAATTGGCTCTACCCATACCTGTTCCACGTACTATGATATGTGTACTTGGATTTTTTTTTAGGGTCGCAATTTGTGTGTGTTTTTTTAGTAACATTCGTTTTGTGCAGTTCGGGGCATTCCGTCAAACAGAATAAATTTTGACTTCCTTTTGTATAAGTCGATTACTGAATAAAAGTACGCATTGTAATATTTAGTTGCACGTTGTTTTGACTGAGAAGTTTACATCATAAACTCAGTACAGTTGATTGAAATCGTTGGTGGTACCATTTTCTTCCCGGCGATGATGGAATTTGCACTCCACTTAAGGTACAACACCAATATATAGCACCCATCACATGGGATAATGTCTCAGGAGTGCTTCACAAAAACAGGGTCAGCACTATGTTGGGTGGTGGGAGGGGGAGAGAGATAACTGTGGGCCAGTTAAAGAGATAGCTTTTCAGTAGAATTTAAAGATACAGAGGAAGGAGTTTTAGAACATGTGGCCATAGTTGCTATAGTTTCTGCCGGTTAGGATTACATTACAGAGGGTTATTTGACCTGTTAAGCCTAAGTTGTTGCTCTTAAAACCTATTTCCTGCTCTTTTCACATTGAATTCCCCCTCATTTTCCTAACCCCTCTTCAGATGTGTTCAATTGTGAGGAGGTAGATCAGCACAGTCCAGTTGACTCCCTCCAATGTCCTCATTTCTACTTTATCTCTTTATCAAACTGTCAGCTATAAAAGCTTGGTAAGAAGTGTGTTGTGAACATCAACTCTGGTTTGATTTTAAGTAATCTAATGATCCGCAGCCTTGGTTTCCACTATTTGTGAAGGGTGCTATATAAATGCAAGTTGTTGTTGTGATCATTAATGAAGACTCCTGTTAAGTAATATACCCTCAATGCTTTAAAGTTACCGTGTGGACAAGCCTAGTCTATTTAGCTCCGTCGCTTGTTTTTCTTCCATGTGTCAAATTTGATTTGGGACGATCAGTTTTGAACTGAATGTTTTCCACTCGTCAGTGGCAATTTAGTGATTGCTAAGCGGTGTGAGGGCGGGGAAGTGTTGTGCGTCACAGTGATGTTCAAAACACACCAGCAACCCTGGTTTCTTTCTGTCAGCTTGTGATTCAAGTCCCATGAAAAGCGGAACGAATGGCTTATTGCGGAATCTAATTTTGAAAATAAAGGGCATCTTGTCCTAGCGGACATTCTGGGCTGTTTTTCGAGCGTTTTAGCCAGCAGCTACGGGCAGCCTGACAAGAGCTGAGGATCTGAAGGATGCAGCCAACCTCCCCGCGTCAGTCCATGGCCGGGTGCTTGTTTTTGGCGGCCCTCGTGGGCTTTTTGACAGCTTGTTTGATGAGAATAAACGAATCGCTGCTGAGGGCGACGCAGCGGCTGGAATTTCCATTTTTATTTTAATAAACTATTTTTATTTTAAAAATAAACTGATGAAAATTTCGCAAGTGTAACCTACCTACCTTACCCGATGTGCGCAAGTTGGCTATCAGCCATTCACCTACAAGATGCCCGGTCACTTCACTACCGTAAACGCTGTGAAGCGCTTTGAGACGTTCTCCAGATGTGATCAAATGCGAAGATTGTTATCCTGCAGCTAATTGTGAAGTCCCGTAGTTAGAGCACTCACATCGCAAAGCGAGAGGGCCCGGGTTGGATTCCCGGGCACGGTGAAACCTTAGGCAAGTTTCCTTCCTTACTCCGCACGCCTCTCTTTACCTCGCAGTAAGTAGAAAACCCAGTTGTTAAGTCAATTAGCGGATTGCTAACCGGGGATAATAATTCCTCTTAAAAAAAATAATGATTTGGCCACTCAATCCACCGCTGTTTGTGGGTCACTGCTGCACCAATTGGCTGTCGTGTTTTGCCCACAAAATGTAGTCGATTCACTTTACAGTGTGTTCTGCGAAGCGCTTTGAGACGTCTCAACGACATGATCAGGGTTGCTCTAACCGCAAGGATTATTAGTATTATTATTATTATAACAATCCGTTCGACCGTGTATCTAGCGCCTACAACCACCGTGTCCCAGGGCACTTCGCAGGCGATCGCTGTCAAATGTGGTGCTCGATTTCCACGCGGCAAAATCCCAGCGTTTCCATCAAAAGGATTTACTGATTCACGGCGCTGAACCTCACGCACTGAGAGTGCGTGTTGGCCATTGGAGGGCACTCTCGGGCTTTCTCAGCCGGCTGAACCTACCTCGTTGCATCCAGCGACGGAGCGAGAAAGCTTTTAAGCGCAGTTACCATGACATCAGAACAAATATTATCAATTGCAAATCTATGCATTGGTGAGGCACCTGTAGAGAAGCGCTTATTAGTTCGGCACAAAGGGAAGTGGCACTGCTTGGCTAACTTGCATTGTGTAGATTATTCTCCAGATGGATGGGCTTTGAAGTTCCTGCAGCACAAGAGGCTTGGGACTATTTTTCACCCCTGTTTTGTCTCCCGTTTGATTTTTTTTTTTCTCTTTCCCCCCCCCCCCCCCCCTCTGTTGAAGTTCTACTCCTCACCCAAATAGATAGCCTATCAAAATTCGGCACGTGATAAGGCGCTTTTATCAAATGCAAGGATTATTATTATAATATCATCTGTGTTTTGAGTCTTGACAGTATGTGTGTCAGTAAGTTTGTGAGTAAACTGGCTACAGCTTTCACTCTACAAACACACAGCCACTACACTTTACAGTGAAAGTCCTGTAAAGACGTCTCAAGGATGGAATAAGGATGTATACTGTAAAGAGAATTGACTGTATTATGTGGGCGAAATGCAAGGTTTATTATATGATAGTGCAAGTGCAGAAATAGCTGCCCAAGGTGCAATTTCCATGTGTGTCGTGGTTCTTAGGGGGGAGGGTGGGAAGAGTCTTGATGTCTTTTTCCTCTTATATTCCTGTGTTTCTCCTCCATTGCATCGTTGCAACCCACGCCCTCCCCCAGTTTCCTGATATCCATCAATCAACCTGGTCTCTACAGTCCCCTAGACTTCTGGTGACTAATAGCTTTCAAAGCGTTCAGTCAATTATCACTGAATCCTAAATATAGCTTCCTGAGCGAGTAACAATTTGCTTCCTTTCAAAGCAAGGCCTCATCAGATTAAAATCAACATAGCCACCCATGACATTTCCTGTATCTTATGTCTGGGTTTAAGTATTTTGTTTTATTTGCTACAATTGAATCAGTGCTTTTGTTATTAAACATCCCATTTTATTCAGAGGACAACATATCCAAGCAACTGTTTCACCGCAGACACTGTGAGTGATTTCGTACTCCCGGCTGACAAACCCCCAAATAATATTGATCATTCAATCAATAATAGCTTTCAAAAGGGAATTGGACAGGTACTTAAAAAGGAAAATAAATTGCAGGGCTGTGGGGTAAGAGTGGGGGAGTGGGACGAGTTGAATAGCTCTTTCAAAGTGCGGGCCACAGGCATGATGGGCCGAATGGCCTCTTTCTATGCTGTAAGATTCTGTGAATTCATGGTTATTTTTTGGGTCATTGCTGAGTGCGAATTGGCTATGGTGTTCAATCACAAAGCGTAAGTCTTTGGATTTACATGTGTAGCCTGTGAAGTGCATTAGGATGTCCTGATGTGGAAAGGCACTGACTGATCTGTACGACTCAGTTACAACCTGATTTTACCTGGGATAGCATTTGGAAATCCAATTGGTCTGATGATTGTAAATCCTCGATTTCAGACCTACCTCTTTGACCACACCAATGCTCAACCCTCTCTTCCTTGCTCTGTGTCTAGCCCCCATGTTTGGGAAGCGCTCTGAGAAGATATCCTACACATGAACAGCTCTGTATAAACGCAAGTAGTTTCTCCTTCCTTCCCACTAAGTCTGGTCAAATCCCTCTAAATTTAAAAAAAATTCTACAATTTCACCATAAGCCACTCTATAAGCTCCATATCATAGTGCTAATTATTTTATACCTTAATTATATTGTGCAGCACATTGTGGCGATACTCCATGTTCCCTTGTGTTATTATATCCTGTATTGTGGCTGCACACAATGTACCCCAGTCTTGCAGCATGCACAACAGCTATACATCATGTACTCTGTACTGTTAGCGTGTACACCAACCGCTGTCGATAGCGTTACTGCCCCAAGGCTGTGCCACATTCCCTGGTCTTACAATAACAACAACAACTTGCATTTACTTATATAACGTCCTTCATATAGGATAACGTCTTTACAAGGCCGGTGTGGGGGGGGTGGGAGTTCAGGCACAGAGCAACTGAGAGGGGGAAAGGGGGAGATGGCTGTAGGCATGTTTGAAGAGGTAGGTTTGGACTCTTAGTCTTTCATTCACAGAGAAACCAACTTAACGTTGCTTATTTATAAGCAACTTCTACCCCCATTAAGTGGGTACCAGAGGACACAAACAGTCTCCGAGGCCAATGAGGGGCAGTTTGGTTTAGTCAGTCAGGTGTCTGACACACATGGAATCGCATGACCTTGTTGAAGAGTACCCAAGCCAGTCTGAGATTTCCACACATATATGCCACCTACACAGAGATTTACCTGTGTCTGGAATATCTTGCACACACTCTCCCCGGAGGGACGCACCCTATTACATCCACCAGCCAGAACTAAATTAACAACACAATCTAAAGGATCAAGGTTAAACAACAAATTGTGGAAACACAGCAAATTTCACCCTGTGAAAAGCCAACGGCAAATCAGACAGATCAGGCCTTCTTTCTTTCTCAAACACTTGCTGAAATTCTGTGTTAAAAAAATCCTTTGAAGCAAGTTTGATCCTAATCTCTGACACCTTGAGCAGAGACGGTGTGGGGTGGGTGCGTGTGTGTGTGTGTGGGGAGGGGTGAGCATCTGGCAGGAACAGCCCCTATCAGAGAGGAACCGGAGGTAAATATACAATCAGAGGCTTCCCAACGCAACAGAGACACTGATTGCAGATTGTCTGAGACAACTGCAACCCTCCACATCACACCTCTTGTAAGTGCTCGCAAGAGGAAAAATGCAGTAGTGGTTAGCTCACTCGCCTCGCAAGCGAGAGGACGATTCCTGGGCAGTGCAAAACCTTAGGTAACTTTCTTTACTCCACACCCACGCACCTCCGTTTACCCAGCAGTAAGTAGGAACCCGGTTGTTAGTCGATTGGCGGATCGCTTTTCCGGGGGGAATAATCCCTTCAAAAAATTGGTC